CAATATATGCAATTATTTCTTGTACATAATCATTTGAAATCCAACTCTAACTTGAAATTTTCCAAAAACGAAATAGCAAAAACATCACAATATCAAAAATAGTGAAGGTTTTTCTAAGATGACAGTTTAATAATTGGCTTTGGTCACTAAAACAGTCATGTGACATGTGACTGATTTCAGAGCAAATGGTTGCTGATCAGTCCCTATTCTGTCAGACCTTTCTTGTCCTACTGACATTCATTTATACTCTTGGCTATTCTTATACTATTGTTGATTATCTGAGAAAAATTCTTTTTTAACTGCTCTGAAATGATCTATGTTTCTGCAACAATGAGCATAATTGACAATTATGGCACATTATTCCCAGCTCAAAATATCTTTACTAAACAGGATAACCACAATGTGATGAAGTGCAGTACATAGAGATTTGAGAGAGACAGACTTTCAGTCTCCCTGTGAAGAAGAATTAAAGATTAAAATAACATAGACTTGAGTAATCAGGGGTAGAGTGACAGGGTAGTGACATAATTTCAATAAACTATAAAAATTTAGTCGTGAAACATGCTCTATGAGTATAAAGAGGACAAGTATCTTATTCAGAGTAGACACCCAGAGCCTAGCACACAGTAGTTATTCAGTAAATATTTTTAGAATTTTGTAAGAAAAAGCACAAGCTGAAAGGAGATATAATGACCAAAGGAGTAAAATCTCTAAAACTACAAGTTCTCTTTTCAGTCTGTTGCTAATAGAGACACAAGTAAGAATATTATTTTATTTTTCCTTTGTACTTTATGCTTTTCACTGCATCTTTACCTATGCATCTCCCCTGACCTTGTTTGGACTCCACTGAGTTTTACAAGTGAAAAATCAAGTTGCTACATATTTCGTTTTATCAGGCTTCTAAGCTGTGACAGCTTTGTCAATCTTGTAGTTTAGGTGGTGATGAAAATAGCAGAGAAAATAAGGTTCATCTAGGAAAGAATTATTTTTACTTTAACCATACAAACCAAAAATAGCCTATTTTACAGGGTAATTGTGAGGAATAATAAATGCAGATAGCTCTAAAGTACCATAACAAAATGTATTATCCTTTCTAAATTTCTTTTTGGCTTTTCTCTCAGGCAGACACTGAAATGCAGATGAAATGACATAAATTATTCACCCTGGGTCATTAGGTGAAGGACTGCTTCTAAAAACTCAGCAATATAAAGGTATAACTGGAAAAAAAACTTATCTTTTTTAGGAATAAGATAAATTTCATGTACAAACTTTGGACAATATTTATAAAATCTTATGTGAAAAGAAGCAATTCTAGGGAGACTGCTGGGAATATTTCACCAGATGGGCTGCTAGCTCCCAGATTCAAAACTGACATCCTATTTAGGTGGTCTTTAAATTCAATATGCAAAGAATTTGCCAGATATCCTGTACCCTCCAAACAGCTAGCCCTTGCTTCCAGTTTTGAACACTAAACAACCATTGTATCAAAAAAGAACAGGGAACATCAATTAAAGACATCTGGTGAGTGACAAATTTATCCAAATGTGGAACATCCAAAAGAATCCTAAGTCAAATAGAGGGCAATTTCATCAAGAAAATTAACAAATCCAATTGAGCAAATGATATCTTGAATCTCTCCAAACTAGTAGGAAGAAAATTATTCAGTGTATTGGAAAATTTAGAATTTAATGTAAAAGACTACAGATATTTTTTAATTCAATACACAAGAGAACTTATTAATGAAGAATTACAATTTATCTCATTCTCTAGATGAAAAAATTTATAAAAATTCATGAGTTTGGAGAATAACACCAGAGATATTATATTAAAAAGATACTTTAAAATGTTTAATAAGGGGGATAGGAGGGTGGAAATGTTTAATAACCCCTGATTTTGAAATACACTGTTCCTAAGGAAATTTTTATTACCTGTCTTTTTGTCTGTACTTCTTTTCCTCTCCTGATTAACCAAAAAACAGTGAGGCAGTAGGCATGAGTAGAGGAAATGTGGGTGGCTCAGTAATCAGGTCTGAAATTTATAAATCTCTGAAAAGTTAGTGCAGCTGGAAAACCCACTGATAGGACTAGATACTTCAGAGACCAGTGCCATTGGATTAGATATTTAGAACAAATAATAAGTAAGAACAGTAAAGGAAAAGAAAAACAGTTTTCAGTAAAATAGAAATTAGTCCCTAGATCTATGAAGAGATTATTAGATCTTAAAAAATCAAGAGACTTCCTAAAGTAAAATATAGAAAACAAGAGATGAAGAGAAAGATGTTACCAGATCCTTTTCAGTGTTATCAGATTAAGAGAATATGCTGATTCCAAAATATTGGTCACCATCCTTTAATCTTAAATATCATAGTCACTAACATCATCTCTTTAAGAATATCAAATCCTCTGTTATGGACTGAATGTTTGTATTCACCCAAAATACACATGTTGAACCCTAACCCCCAATATGAGAATATTTGGAGGTGGGAACTTGGGAGGTAATTAGGGTAAAATGAGTTCATGAAGGTGGGGTCTTTGTGAAAGGATTAGGAACTTTCTCAGAAGAGACGTCAGAGACCTTATGCTCTTTCTCTGCTATGTGAGGACCGAGTGAGAAGGTGACTGCAAACCATCAGCAAGTCAAGAACAGAGCCTTTACCAGGAACTGAATTGTTTGGCATCTTGGTCTTGGGGACTTCCCAGACTGAAGAACTGTGATAAAATACATTTCTTTTTAAGCCATCTAGTCTATGGTATTTTTGTTATGGTAGCCCAACCTAACTAATACTCTCTTTGCCCCAATATCTGATTTTATATTTATTTCTTAACTGGTCTTCAATTTATGCATGAGCACATCACGATTTAGGATCATAGAAACTCATAACTGGTAGGAACAGATCTCTTGTCTAATTTAACCACCCACCTTATTCCTGAATCTTCTAAATAAGATGGAATTGACTAAATGGTCTTGCAAGATAGCTAGAATCCCTTTCACGAGGGAAACTTACTAAGGTGATTGCTTAAAGATGTTCTTTTTTTTCTATCTCTTTTATATGTCTTAAATTTTCATAGCGAAAGATACAAGACCTACAGAGAGGCATGTAGAGGAACAGAGACTGCTTTAACATTTAGAACACTCTTTGGATTTTCAAATGTCATAATGCCAAAGAAAAACATTGTCAGATTCTAAATAGAATTAATTTTTTTTAACCTTTCTTCATCAAAAACAGGAAATACCTACTTCCAAGTGTACAGTTTTGGATTCTATTATGGCAAAGACTTTAGTGTTGGGGAGTGACATGGCTTAGACCAGTGCAAAATAAACTTTTGAAGCCCTAAAGTGACAATTTCTGACTAGGTAAAAATTCAAGCGCTTTTCTCTGACAAACAGTAACTCCTGCTTAGAGTCATTTAATTAAATGGAAACACTTTATGCCAGTGGATTTTCAAGAAGCTAGGAAGCAATGAAATGAGAGCTCTACTGTTTATATTTGGACAAATGTAGGCAACTCAGCTTCTCTTAATCTGGGAAGCTTGAGCTTTTTCACCAAGATGAAAATTTTTGCATTAAACAAATACAAACAGGAAATCTCCTAGCATCATTAAGTACTTGCAGTTACTTAAAGTCACGACTTAATCATTTGCTTTTAGGATGTTCCATCCAAGAACAGGAAATGTTTAATGATATAGTTATAATTATCCAAAATATTCTCCCTTTTGCCTTTAGATATTTTTTCATATCACATGGCTCTGCAATTCAATAAAAGAAGGAAGTATATGAATAGTTTGCTTTCATATTTAATTTGCAATAAGAAAACTCTGAAACACAAAGATGTGTTCGCAATTTGATAATCTGTATGCAGGTAACCTCTTGTTTCAGTGAGCAACTTTGTATGATGATAAAAGCAATAATCCATACAAACAAACACCAACCAGTAAGATAAATGAATTTAAACATTTCTTCAGAGTATGTTGAATTTGCTTAGTTGGTTATTAAACACAGTATTCAGTAAAATTAAAAAAGGGACATACCTCTCAGTATATCTTCATTTTTTTAAGAAAACCCATTGGGCATATTATACTTTCCACGTACTCATTCCTCACCCTTAAAAGCTGAATGGTAATTCTATAGAAAGAATGAAAGATGGCCTTTGGCCATCACAATAGAATCACTGGTTGTAACACAAAGCATCCCCATACTAGAGAAATGTGTTTGCATTTGTGGTTTTTCTGATGCCTTCAAATGAATGTTCCTACGTCACAACTACATCTGTTTGGATGCCTTTCCTCCCTTGGGTTAAATGAACAAAGGGACATTTTCTTAGAGCTCATCTGATGGAAATTAAGTCTGCTTTCATCCTTGCCTTGTGTAGCTTTCTTCGAGTTGCTCTATTTGCGTATGCTTTCTTTCATAAGCTAATAGAAATCTAAAAATTATCATGAACTTGGTAACTTAAAACATTAAGTAATTAGAAAAAAGGCTTAACCTTCAGCAGGGTCCTGAGAATGTTCGCTTAAAAATGTTTAAAAGGAAAATTAAAAAGAGAGATGAGAGACATGCGCCAGGGGAGAAAACTCATGGAAGGAATGAACTTTCAGAATGTAACCAATTGACATAATAAGATAAGTTTAATTTGTGCTTTTGGACTTGCCCAGAAAGTTTTATATTCAAGGCATACATTTCTTCAGTTTCAGCTTTCAATCATTTACTTCCTGCAGGCATTCAAAAATCAGTGTGTTCAATATCATGCCTGTAGGCTTATATGAAAGAATGGTAAGGCATATCAACTGGCTGAAAGAGAATTTTCATCAAATGCCAACCAGGCCACGCAGATGAACAAGTCTGCATTTGTCAGCAAACTGGCATATACTCAGAAAAACGAAAGTTAACTGAAGGTTTTCCATCAGTCTAATCATGATAAAACAATATTAAAATCCAAAGTAAACAGTAAAAAGCTACATGTACATATGTTTAGAAAATAAATTAAAACAAAAAGTACTTACACTTTTGCTCCGAGAAAGCAAATCACAGGTATTTCTTTTCATTGTGGTATTTTACGTAATCCAAACAGGCACTAGTTTTTCCAGCGTCAGTGCTCTCACTGCAACAATTATCCACTCAAAAGCCAACTGGAATGCTGAAAAGGAAGGCAAGGAAATGTTTAATCAAGTATATGATTAACACGTGCACTTTGAAATGCTGTCTTAGGCTAGAGACAATAATTCTTAAATAATTCATCAGAATAGGCTAAAATGGTGCTGTGTTTAAAGCAATAAAAGTACACACAAGCAACATTTCCAAAACAACTTTTGTTAAATGTAAGTTAGAGATTTCAAGCACCATCTGTTTTCCATTAAATATTCAAGTCTACGTTTTTAGTGACTGAAAGAAATAGGTATGGTAGCCATAACCTAAAATTACATGCATGAAATGAGGATTTGTGCATGTACTGATTTTGGCTGGGACAGCTAGGGACCCCTCAATTTTTCACTATAGGTAGTCATGTCCATTAGTGGAGGAATCTTACTTGCATCTGAAGAGCCCTCTGAGCACTGCATTATTGCCTCTTGTTTGATTAGCAATAATCCACAGTACATTGAAGCCAACCTAGTGACTTTTCAGTAAACACAGAGAATTTTCTACCACTTTAGTTCAAAGAGGTTGTAAGGAATGTGTGAGAGAAGTTGAGAGCAAATCGTGTACCTATAACAGTTAAGCAATAACTGTTATTTCAAAGAATATTCCAGAGTAATTGCCATTTGAATGACACTGATAGCCTCATTACCTAACTAACCTTCACTTCCCACTAGACACTAGGAAGGAGAGTCTCTGTTTTGAGTTTCAAGAAAAGAGCAAGTCAAACAGCCATAAGGGTTGTGTTCATTTCTAATATTCTGCTACATCTGGACATAACTTGCATATGCATAAAGTATATTTGCAAGTGGGCTGAAGTACCTTTTGGGAAAGAACTTACCCTCAGGGAAAAGGGATAAGGCAAAAAAGTTTGACCAAACACAAAAACACTGACATTATAGGTATAGGCTGATATTGTAGGCATAGACTGATGCTAACAACAGCATGTCGTACTATCACTTAGATTTGTTCTGAGCTTCTCAAAAACTTGTATCTGAGGTTTACAGGAAAAAGTAACAGTGATCAAGGTCTGAAGGAACTGGTTTTGCTAAAATGATTGAAAAAATGTCAAGGTATAAAAAAAATTTTTTAACTATATATACTTTTAAATAAACATATAAAACAAAAAGTGAGGAATCCTGCAAGGAACACAGCACTCGATTTCAGGACTGAAAAGACTTTTTTTTGGATTATATGTGACTCACTCCCTCACAACTTCTCAAAATAAAAGGAAGGTACATTCAGAGAGGCCAGAGGTCTCACATCAGCAAGGTGGAGACAGAAATGGAGAAATGATGTTTATTATTGCTAAGAATATCTCTAGACACAAGTCGGGGTCCCAAAGGGAATTAGGAGACAAAGCCTTCCTCCCAGGCTGATGAAAATGCTTGCCTGAAGGTTAAAAAAAAATGCACAATCAAATGTGAGTTGCTAGGATAAATACTGTTTCTTTTAGTGTGTGTGGATTTTTTTCAGGGAGTAGTGTTTGGTGGGAGGAATAGCTGATCCACAAATGGAAGGTTTTAGATAGTACCCTCCAGGAATTTAGTCACCTTTACAGATTAATTATAATACTAAGCATTTTATAGGTCTCAGGAAATGTGGAATTATGTTACTCATTTTAGAAATGGACAGAAAGAACATAAACTGTGAACTAAATATTCCATAGCTAGAGAGGAACAAACCCTAGATAACTGCCATGGGAAGATAGTACATTATCAGAGGAAAAACTCTTTCAAAATATTTAATTATTCATCCAATATTTGGTGAGTAGCCTTGGAGACAACCATGGAATAGCTGCCTCTAGTGGGCTAGTAAAAAATGAATCTGACCTGATAAGGTTTGCTGAATTAATTAGGTTTTCAATAAATTTGCCTTAAATGACTTAAATGCCATCATTAAGAGAATTTGTATAGGCAATAAATTTAATTGACTGCTGATGGGATGGTCTTTCTCAGCCTGTATATCTAGGAGGCAGCCTGACCTCTCTAAAAGGATGAATGTTGGAACCAAATAGACACTGGTTAGAATTTCAGCTCTCCACTGGCATACTGTATAGTTTTAGGAGTTATTTGACCTCTCTCAGCTTTTTCCAGGTCTACAAAAGGGAGAAAGTGTTTTGAGTTTAAATGAGGTATAAAGTAGAATACTTGACACACGGGAGATGCTTGGCCCTCCTTCTCCTCATCATCCATCATTACTACCTTTTTCTTCTCTTAGTATCAAAAGACAAACAACGATTTTATTTTTTTTCCTCCTAAAGTGTTAACCTCTGTAAAATAAAACACGTTTAGGCAAATATAATTTCCGTTTACTAATATGACGATTGTGTCAGTTAGGGTCCCAGGGTTAAGCAGATGCACATTTATAGTAGGATCATTTACGGTGGGTTCAATAAGGGGACTTTTTAAGATGTGAGGAGCGTAGGGGCATCCAAAGAATGGTGCAGTACCTGGAACTAGCAATAGCCGAGTATTTACTACACTAGGCCCAAAGGGAAATATAGACAGCTGGGTTATCAAGTAGAGAATGGGCTGCCTTGAAAAGGGAGGTTTACTCCCAGGAAGACAGCTATCTTAGTTCCTAGAAGTTCCCCCTCAGCAAAGATAATGCTGTGAGATGACAGAAAAGCTTTCTCCCTCCAGGTGCACTAAAAAGAAATCTAAGCAAGAGAACAGGCACACGTGCAATTCATTACAACAGGAGTTTCCACAGAAAAGTTAATTAGAAAGAAGGAAGAGTTGGCTCCTGCAGGGAGAACACTTTAGAAATAAAAATGAAGAGAGGTGGTTGGCAAGACAGATGGTGCTGGGATATTCGAAGACAAAATCAAAGCAGGAGCACCTGTATAAATTTTGCTGCTTCGATGCTAGGATAAGAGAGTTAAGACAGATTCTTTCCTAGGGATTGAGGATTTATATAGTAGAAAAAGCCCTGAACTGGTCATCAGAAGAATTAAGTTCTACTTTCATTGCTATGTCATATACACAAGCTGGATGGTATTAGGAAAATCCCTTCTCTTTTTCTCCTCTACCAGTTGCTTGCTTCTCTGTAAAGTGGAGATAACAGTATCTCTGCCACCCTCCTCAGAAGGTTGTTATAGGGATTAATTAGATAATATCTCAGAAAGTTTTCTGGAAACTTGAAGGTTCTCTGCAAATATAATTCTATTCTCTGAAACAGCAAATGTGTCAATACATAATGACATCCTTAAACATAACAGTGAAAAAGCATTCCAATCATCTACAAATATTAGAGAAACTACTAGACAGTACATGCTTTATATATGTCACAAGAATTTTCTATTTGCCTCCTGTTTTAGAACTAATATTTTTAATCTTCTACACAATAAGTCAGTTTATGTAGTAACTGCTGAATTATAAAGCCACTCAGATGCATTAGTTTTTAAAAAAATTATTGAGTACCTAGTATGTACCAGGCATCGTACCAAGCTCTCAGATAAATACCAAACTTTCTTGATGTGGGGAAAAGAATTTTTTGGGTGAAGTTGCCTATGAATGACCAAAGGGTAATCAATTAGATCTGTCTCTAATTCATCCAAATATAGATTTTTCTATGACTGCATAAAATAGACATCAAAGCAAAATAAAACTTGGCAGTATTTTCCCTTCATTAGATTCTAATCCAGAATGAGTACATGTGGCACACATAAAAAGGGAAGTTTGATCACTATAAAAGACAATTCCAAAGAAATACAACAAAAATACCTTCAATTTAACAAGGTTCATCCACCAAAGTATCAGCAGGCAAGAAATTAGGAGAAGGCAATGCAAAAACTAAATACTCAAAAAGTTAAAAGGACAAAATCATACAAAAAGGAAAAATCAGATTTTTCATGGGAAAGTTTGAATTATTGCCTTAGACTTTTTAATGCCCACTAATTTGCCCTATGCATACATAGGTAGATAACTTGGACGTCTGCTCCAGTTGGACCTCTGTTAAATCTGTGGCAGAATCAAACATAGTAAGTGCCTGACATCACACCATACCTTCGAAAATTGTGAATTAAGAAAAAGGTCTTCTTTGTCCAGATTTGAAGATGACAATAGCGGTTCCATGATACTGACATGCTTCCTCTTTTCTCCAGGGTACCCTGTGCAGGTTGTCCCTTATCTGAGCTCCTGCTAATGGCTATAGAATCTGAGATTAGGGTACAAATGAGGCAACTGAGGTCTAGGGAACATAAGTAATCTGCCTAAGATCATAGAGTTGCCTGGGATAACACAGTAATTAGACTGAGGCCCCTGTATTCCATGCTCAGTGCTCTGTCCAGCTGATGATACTGCCCTGTGTATGGATTTTTTCCTTAAACTAGTTCATAGGTCAACCCAGATGTGCCTTGCAGTCTTCCTATCAGAGTTTAATAACTTGGTTCTCACTGAAGTCAGTGCAGTCTACTTGTAACCACAAGGATGACCTGTACAGTCAGGTTATAGCTTATGCTTGGTAGGAAGTCTAGAGTGTTATGTTTCAACTAGAAGAGTCAGGTGATCTTTGATTTACATGTTCAATCTGGTCTTGTTGCACATTCTATTCCCCCAACACCAGCCCTTCACCCTAGACAGTCTGATCTAATCTCTCCAACACCTGTAATATGTTCATTTCTACCTCCTAGCCCTCAGTTCGTGCTCTTAAATTCTTCTCTTCATTTATCTTCTCTTCATTTATCTCTTTCTGTTCTTTAAAGTTCAACAAAATTCTTTCCTTCTTATAACAACTTCCCTGCTGCTTCAAGTTACACAGGTTTCTACTTTCTAAGAAGTCCAACAACAAAAGGTATTTTTCACCACAAAATTTTCTATCTAACATTTTTTTCACTAATTGTTTTTTGGGTTTAATCTTTGCTTCTTCAACTGGGGGTGGAATAAGGTGCATTGTGAGGCTTCTTCCATACTGCAAGTTGTATGATTATAAAACACAAATTTCTTAAATTTGAAAGAAATTTATTATCATTCTTTTGCCTTTCCCATAGTACTTAACATAAT